GATAGATAGATAGATAGATAGATAGATAGATAGATAGATAGATAGATAGATAGATAGATAGATGGATGGATGGATAGATAGATAGAATAGACTGGCAGATAGACAGAAACAGGCAGAGAGACAGACAGATAGATAATGTGTCTCAGTCTGTACTGAATCTATCATCCTCCTAACAGGACAATCTCCTTCTTTTGATAGATGAGAAAACTGGAGCCCATGGATATTAGTTAAAAGTGTCAAAAAGCCAGGATCTTCCAGGTCCTCTGACTCCCAAGTTGATATATTTTCCATGAACAAAATGAAACAATATTTGTAAAGCACTTTGCAAACTTTAAAACCCTATATAAGGCAGCTAGGTGGTGCAGTGGATAGAGTACTGGCCCTGGATTCAGGGGGACCTGAGTTCAAATCCAACCTCAGACACATAACACTTACTAGCTGTGTGACCCTATGCAAGTCACTTAACCCCATTGCCTAGCCAGAAAAAAAAATTAAATAAAAATAAATAAATAAAAACCCTATATAAATGCTAGTTACCATCGTTATTATTGCCACATTGCCTCCCCTTAGTTCACTGCCTGCAGCAGCATGGTTCTTTCCAAGTCCCTTTATCTCACTGGACCTCAGTTTCCCCATCATTAAAATGAGGAAGTTGCCCCAGATGAGGAGGATGCTCTAAACTCTGCAAACAGGGACCACCTTGTTCAAGGCCTGAACCTTTCTTCATTTCCTTGCCATGGTGAATGGTGATTAGCAGATACTGAACAAACCCTGTGAAAGATTAAGAGAAGGCCTAAGGATCTAGAAGTCTCTGGAGTAGGTCCTATGGTTCCCTGGGTGTAATGTGTATGTATATGTCAGTATAGCCCCCAGGAACCCTGATAATTCCCACTTTACCCCCAATTTACAGTTCAATTCAGTCATTTTCCAGTGGTGTCCAACTCTTCATGACTCCATTTGGTGGTTTTCTTGGTAAAAAATAATGGAGGGGTTTGCCATTTCCTTCTCCAGCTCATTTTACATATGAGGAGACTTAGGCAAACAGAGTTAAGTGACTTGCCCAGGGTCACACAGCTAGGAAGTATCTGAGGCCAGATTTGAACTCAGGGAAATGAGTCTTCCTGGCTCCAGGCCAGGCACTCTATCCACTGTGCTACCTAACTGACCATCCCAACTTGCAGAATGGGTCCTAAAAACAAGGTTCCCACATATTTGTTCTGCTCAGCCCCAGGGGGCAGTCACAGAGAGAAGGGTGGAAGTAACAGAGAGGCAGATCTATAAGGAAAACCTTCCTAATGATTAGAGCTATCCAAAAGCTGCATGGACTGTCTCCAGAGGGGCGTGGGGGGGATCCTCTTCACTGGAGGTCTTCAAGTAGAGGCTAGATGGGCAGTGGTGATCCAGTATGGAGAACACTGGCTCTGAAATCAGAGGACCCAGGCCCAAGTCACACCTCTGATGCTTTGGGCAAATCCTTTATCTTCCCTGGGCCTCAGTTTCCTCACCTAGAAAATGAAGGGGTTGGGCCAAATGGCCTCTGAGGTGCTTTCTTCTTTTATTTCATATATTTTTTTTCCCCCAATTACATGTTAAAACTATTTTTAAAACACTTTTTTAAGTTTTGAGTTCCAAATTCTGAAGGGCCTTCTAACTCCAGATCTAAGGCCCTGAGGTAAAAATCCATTCTTCATTCCATAAATAAACTTGAAACCACTCAAGCATGCTAGAGGGTGGGCTTCATTTTGGTCAGGAGCCGGACTAGATACACAGATGTCCTAGGGTGCTTCTGAAATTCTGTGATTCTCTGCTTGTCCGTCAGGCATTCACTGCTCACCTCCCAAACTGGTTTCCCACCCTCTTCCCATCCCTACTCTCCCACCAGCATCCCCAGGGAGGGCACTGGGGTGAGGACAAACGTCATCCCTTCATCGACCCTGAGTAAGAAGCAGATAGGCTCTCTGGGAATCCCCCAGGGAGGGACAAGGAGGAAAGGGTCATAGGGGAGGAGGGAAGGCTGTGAAGCTGAGAAACTGCCTGTCATCGTTCTCAGGCTCCCAGGGGTCACTGAACTAGGTGCCTCCACTTAGGGTCAGGGAAGAGTCCTGAAGGTTCTTTTCCTCTTTAGGGGTTCTCACCACCCCTGCTCCCCACCCTACCTCAAGGTTCCCTATTGCTTCTGGGCTAAAAATAGAAACTCCTCAGGCTGGCATTTAAAGCCATCCACAGTCTAGATCCAACTTCTATTTCCTGTCTTACTTTCCCATTTCACCCTTCTATGCCCAAGTCAGCCAAGCCTGCTTAATCCACCGGAACTCAGCCTCCTATCTCCCATCTCTGAGCCTTTGCATGGGCTGTTCCCCATGCCTAGAATGCATTCCCTTCTCACCCCCATCTCTTTGAATTTTTTGCTTCCTTCAAGTCTCAATTCAGGAGCCATCTCCTACAAGAAATCCTTCCTGCTCCTGCCAATTGTTAATGTTCTCTCCTCCTGAAATTGCATTGCATTTACTCATCTGGGTATGTGTAACAACCTGAGAAGTATGCTCTCTGAAGAATACTGCTGTTTTCATTTTTATCTTATACATAGTACATGGCTTAATTAATGCCTGTTGAACTAAACTGAGTTGAACCAGAAAGGGTCAGTTATGAAAGAGATCTTAGAGACCACTTAGACCAGTCCCCTCACTTTACAGACGAGGAAACTGAGGCACAGAGGGGGAAACTGAGGCACGGAAAGGGAAACAGATTTTTCCAAGGTGACATAGCCAGTTAGTGGCTGAATCAGGACTAGACTAAGCTCCTTGAGAGAAGGGACTGTCTTTCACTTTTCTTTCAATCTCTAGAACTACAGTTCCTGGCACATAGTAAGTACTTAATAAATGTTTGCTGACTGAGTGACTGACCCCAGATCTCCTGACTCTTTTGTCTACAACTATACTACCAGTTTACCAAAGGCATCTTCATGGAAGTCAGGGGACCTAGCTTAGTTGTCATTACTCCCAGTTTCTGTAGCTTCTCTGGGCTTTTTCAGTGCTCTTGACAGGACAGGACAACAGCTTCTGCTGTTTTGGAGGGGGGGACAAAGAGAGAGAGGAAAGGAGAGGAGAGGAGAGGAGAGGAAAAGGGAATGGAAGGGAAGGGAAGAGAAAAGAAGAGAAGAGAAGAGAGGAGTCGGAGGAGGAAGAGGAGGAGAAAGGAGGGAGGAGGGAGGGAAGGAAGAAAGAGTGTAAGTTTACAAGTTCTCTATTTTTTTTAACTTTTTGGAAGTTTTATTGACGTATTTTATTTTTAATACATGACAAACATTTCCAGATTGCCCCCACTCTGTGAGAGATCTCTTGTAAACAAAGCAAAACAATTAAGCCCAATTAGAGAACACAGGTTCTCTGTCTAGGAAATGAATACGTGGCCACATCCATGGGAAGAACCCCTCTATGGGACCAGGAGCTACCTGGATCCATCTATTCTCTCCCTTATAGATATCCCAAAACTTCCCAACCCAGCTCCCTTTTAAAACTATCAAGGGGAGTCACTTACAAACTAAGGGAGGATCCAGGACTAAGAAAGCTGCCTGAGGGGTTTCCTCCGGTGCTGTCTACAAGTCTAACAGGAGAGAAGCAAGTTTGTTTGACTTAAGCAATAGGAATGAAGTACTAAAAGTGGGGTTTTAGACTGAGCCAGAGGAACCCCCCCATCCAGAAGTGTCACTAGAACCTCTATCCCCTCTATCTTCTAAAGTCTCTATTCCTGTCCCCCCTCCTCACTACTCTCACCCCATCACCATGGATTCTCTCCATCACCAACCTCCCACCACACACACACACAGACACACACAGACACACACACACACACACTCTCTCTCTCTCTCTCTCTCCCTCTCCCCTCCCCCCCCCCCCCTACCTCTTTAAAGAGTTCAGCCTATCGGCCCCGGGCCCCCGCCCCTATTTCCTTCTCCCCGCCTTCCCCGCTATTATTAAGCTCGGGACAGCTGCCAGCTCTGTCCTGCAGGGATCGGCTCGGACACCCTTGGAGGGGCCACTGGGGCCACCTCTCCGGGACTTCTTGCTTCCTTTCCCCACGTGTCGCGCCTTTCCCACAGCCTCTAGCACAGCCGAGTCAGGTGAGAGGCTGGGACCGCACCACCACTGAGAGCGGAGACTGAACCTAGGGCAGAGTTCCCGGGGTCCGTCAAAGCCAGCTCTGTGCTAAGCCTCAGGGAGGGAAGACTGGAAGGGTAGAATTCTTCCCTAAGTACACCTGACGTCCTTGGCCTTCGACTCCTCTTCACCTGCCCCTCAATCCTCAAGGTAGGCCCTACTAACATTTCTTCCCTCACTCCCTAGCACTTTGCTGTCCTTGCTCTCTGCTGCACTTTGGTAATGAAAGAAATGGAGTGGGTGGGTGCCCCTAAGATAACAACCTGGGGCTCCTGGCCCTCCTCTAAGGAGGACAACAGCCCAAGAATTAGGAGTGACCCCTATAGCTTCCTTCCCTCCTTGGGCTGTTAAGAGGTTCCCCAGATTCTCCTCAGGGAGATCCTCTCTCTCAGAAGGAGAGTTGAAAAACAGATCTCTTTGGAGAGGAAGAGGTTTCAGTTCTGGGGTATCAGGTCTGATGAGAGTTCTAACAACCTAGGTCTCCCAGTCTGAGTTGTTTAGTTTCTTAGAGCTGGTACCACTATCCCCAGATTTCGCATAGAATACCCTCCCCTTAACACTGATCCCAAGATGATGTGAGGGAAGAGTCAGTTTTCAACTAAACTGGGCTACCCCACCCTACCCACCCTGGAGTAAAGGAGAGCAAAGCCAATGTAATTACAGATGGTGGAAATTCTGATTAGGAAACTCCCTTTGTTTTCCCCAATCTACCAGAGCTGAGTTGACACAGAGAGGTTCTGGAGAGGTGAGCCCACTCAACATGAGTCCTCTCCTGGGAAAGTACAGGGACCTGAGCCCCTGGACTCTGTTCAGGAGTGAGCTTCCTGAGCATGACTCCCCTTGGTTAGTGGTTGAAGGGAACTCCTGGGTGAAGGAGCTGAGAAACAGCTGCTTTAAGAATTGTGGGAAAGACAAGCAACCCGTTACTTGGTCATTTAATTTCAGCCCTGCTCCCCTTCTGTGGGAAAGGGGCTCTTATACCCACTATTCCTTCTCCTTTTCCCTGCTTTGAGCTGCCTGACAGGTATTTGCCCCCTAACAAGGTAGCTTCTCCATCTCTTTCCCACACACACACAAAACCTCTCTGACCCTAGAAAGGTTAAGAGGAGGCACCCTGAACAACTGGGGATCAGCTTGCTATATATAAGTTTACCCTCCAGCCCACCTATAGTTAAAAAAGGCAGGGGTGAGGAGCCCCAGAATCTCCAGAAGGGACGATTTCATCTTCCAACCTGTATCCCAAATCCAGCTGAGTCCTAGTTACATAGCTTCTTCCCCTGACCTCCTGGCCCTGGTGGGTACAAGAGGAGAGGGCTTGGAGGGATTCCTTCTCCAGCTCTCTCTTTCTCTTCTTCTCCCACAGAAAGGTCGGGGAGCAATGGGTGATTGGGGCTTCCTGGAGAAGCTGCTAGATCAAGTCCAGGAGCACTCTACCGTGGTCGGCAAGATCTGGCTAACGGTTCTATTCATCTTCCGGATCCTCATTTTGGGACTCGCGGGTGAGTCGGTCTGGGGAGATGAGCAATCAGACTTTGAGTGTAACACAGCTCAACCAGGCTGCACCAACGTGTGCTATGATCAGGCCTTCCCCATCTCCCACATCCGCTACTGGGTCCTGCAGTTTCTCTTTGTCAGCACACCCACACTGGTCTATCTGGGTCATGTCATCTACTTGTCCCGGCGAGAAGAGCGGCTGCGGCAGAAAGAGAGTGAGCTGCGGGCGCTACAGACCAAGGACCCGCGAGTGGAGCAGGCGTTGGCCACTGTGGAGCGGCAGATGGCAAAGATCTCTGTAGCAGAAGATGGGCATCTGCGCATCCGGGGAGCGCTGATGGGCACCTATGTAGCCAGCGTGATCTGCAAGAGCCTGCTGGAGGCAGGCTTCCTCTATGGGCAGTGGCGTCTGTATGGCTGGATGATGCCGCCCGTGTATGTATGCCGACGCCTCCCCTGCCCACACCTTGTGGACTGCTTTGTGTCCCGCCCCACAGAAAAGACCATCTTCATCATCTTCATGCTGGTCGTGGGGTTGATCTCCCTAGTGCTCAACCTGCTGGAGCTGGCACATCTCAGCTTCCGGTGTATGGGTCATAAGCTGAGGGCCCGGCAGACCAGGGCTCGGCCAGGGTCCTACTCTACTGCCCTAGGGGACGGGGCTGCTGTTGGTAGTTCTGGGGACCCCTATTCAGATCGAATGTTCTTTTACCTCCCCATGAACGAAACACCCACATCTCCTCCATGCCCCTCCTACAACAAGCTGTCTAGTGAACAGAACTGGGCCAACCTGAATGCAGAAGAGAGCCTGGCCCTCCAGAAGCGAAGCGTGCTACCTGGGCCAGGGCCCACTCACTCTGAGGGCCCCTACTTGGCCCAGCCTCCCCAGACTGGGGACAACCTCCCGAGTCGCCCTAGTAGCTCAGCTTCCAAGAAACAGTATGTGTAGGGGGCCTGCGTCTTAACCCTCATTACCACAACCTCTAAGCAGAACTCTTCTTTTCAGGGAGAAGTGGTGGGGAGATGTTTCTCAGCCTCTTGTTTTGAAGATGCCTCCCTCCCAAACTGCATGTGAGTGAATTCTCCCACTGTAGAGGGAGTGATCTAGCCACGAACCTGTGAGGGCTGGCATTCCTGTGGGCTGCAGAGCCTGGCTGCACCTGGCCTTCCCAGGCACCAAAGAGACCTCGTGATCTTGGATCATGGCTCATTGACTATTCCTTGGACCAACCAAACTTTATCCTATCCTGGAAAGGCCAACAGTGTTGACAACACCGAGCCAACATAGATCTAGTTGTGGAAGTCCAATGGGTCAGACTTCCCAGATCATGTCTTTCTCTCCATCCCAACTTGTTTCATTCTGTCCAGCCTGCAGGTATTGGGTGGGGGAGGGGGGTGGATACATAGAAAAAGGCACTGCATATCTGTCCTGTGCTGTCATGGGGGCTAGGAGGAGAGGGAGGAGTATCATGTCCCTTCAGGATTGAGGGTTCTTGATGTAAAAGTCCAAGGCAGCAGGCCTCTCGAGTTACATTCCTCTCTGGGTCCCCTAAGCCTTGGTGGAGGAACTCATAGATGTGTTCCATTGCCCAGGTGTCCACCCTGGATTCGGGTTTAAAAATACCTTGGAAGAAGAGAGGTTAGATTATGCTGTGCTTTATTGGCCTCCACCAAAGGGAGCCCCTCACCCACACACACATATTGGAGCCACTGGCTCCTAGTCAAAAGCTGTGACTCCCTTGTCTGTGCCCTCACTTAGGGCTAGGTTAGCTACATCCTCACTCCATCCTGGAGAGAAGGAGCTAAGCCAGGGCTGGGAAAAGTGGGATTGGAACCTTTTCCACCCTAATGTTCAGTTTTTTGTTCTAAAATAAATGGGACCTGAATATGAGTTGCAGCCTGTGTGACTTCATCTTATTAGTGTAGGAAGAAGGGAGGGGATATGGGGAAGGGAGGTGGGGGGTGCAGAGAGGGAGGGAGGACATCCTTCACTGCCTCCTTCCTCTGGTAACCCTAGGGGTAGGGTTACCTCCCTCAAGGCTTTGTCCTAATATCTCTTCTCTGTGCTTTGATGATCTCATCCCTTCCCATGGCCTCAACCCTTTCTTCTCAGATGACTCCTAAATCTATCTTGATATTCCTCACCTCCCCACACACATACACACATAGGAGTCAGTTACCAAGTCCTATTGATTCTATTCTCAATACATCTTAGTCATGGGATCACAGATATAAAACTGCAAGGAATGAATCTTAAGGCCACCCGGTCCAATGCCACCTATTTTACAAAGGAGGGAGTTAAGTGACTTGCTCAGTGTCCCCCCCTGAAGCTAATAAGCAGTCAGGTTTCGAGCCCAGGGTCTCTAATTTGAAACAAAACGTTCTTTGAATTGTCATCATTACCTCTTCCTCACCTCTTCTCCACTCTTGGCCACCATTTTATTACAGGCCCTGACCACCTCTCAGCTGCTTACCCACAGGTTTCTCCTATTTCAGCTTGTCCCTTCTCCAGACCAGTCTGTGAATTATAAACAAATATGGCCACACACACACACACACACACACACACACACACACAGAGGAAGGGAGGTTCCCTCATTGCTGTGCTACCCCAGACTCCTTCTGAGACCTTCTGGCTCTTGGATGGGCCACATTAGAGGATCATAGGACTGGGGAAGGGAGTAGGAAAGTGGGACCATTGCTGCCCTTATAAACCAACCTGAACATCTTCCTTCCCTTTCTCATCTGAAACAGTGGTTTTTCAAAAGAAACATTAAAGTATGGGATTAAAGACTGAACTTACAATTTCATTGATATAAGGAACTCTAGTGAGAAAACTCCCTCTACTAATGCATGTCAGCACATTCTCAGCAATTGATAGTCTCAGAGTTACCTAGAGCACTGACCCACTGCCCAGGTATATGACTTGCCCAGGGTCATACAGCCAGTATGTAGGAAAGGAGAGATTTGGAGCCCAAGTCTTCCTGGCAATGAGTGAGCCCAAAAGAAATGAATTGTTTCCCGCTAGCTTTACAACCACCCTCATCTCACTATGGAGAATAACACAGCTTCCCCAGTAAGCAGACCCTTCTCCCTGAAACCTCCACTTCATGGACTAGTTGCTAGCCCTGCTGCAAAGCTCCTGCCATGATTTCCTTGGGACAACCCTGTGGGATTTCCCACTATTGCCTTCAACACCCACTCAGTGGTTTTTCCAATCAAAGCTGGTGCCCTTCCCTAACCAGAATCACTAAATTCTGTCATCAGAAGCTTCTCAAAAAGCATTAGTCCTCAGTTCCTGGGTGATGAGTTAGCTCCCAGATGTATCGATCTCAGTGCTTGTACACATACATCCCTGGGATGGCAATGTACCATCTCCAGCAACACTGGGCAATAGACTCTCCCCACACATTCCCTCACTGTACCAGAATTACTACCTTAATGCATACCTCTGACTATGTCCCTCCCCTGCTCAAAACAAACAAAAACTAAAAACAACTTTTTAGAAGCTCCCAAGTGCCTACAGCAGAGCTTAACCTTTTTATGTTACGGCATAAACCTTTGGCAGTTTGGTGAAGTCCCTGGTCCCCTTCTCAGAATAATATTTCTAAATGCATAAAATAAAATATATAGGATTACAAAGGAAACTTTGTATTGTGTTAAAATACAGGTATCAAAATATATATTTTTAAAACAGGTTCACAGACCCCAGGTTAAAAAACCTTTGAGATGATCTTTGAAGTCCAAAAATCTGTCAACTTATGGATAGGTAAAAAAGGAAACAATAAATAGTAATAACAAATGATAGGAAGTATTTATATAATGCTTTAAGGTTTGCAGAGTGTTTTACAAATATCTCATCTTAGCAAATAATACTCATTTCACCTTTTGTGGTGGAGTTCAGATAGGGACAAGTCTATCCTACTATTGTTCTTTTAGACCTAACATTTTGCTCACAGGTAGATAAAATAACTACTTTTTGTTATTATTATTATCATCAATAACAACAGCTAGTTTTTATATGATACTCCAAGGTTTGCAAAACAGTTTCATATATGTTACTTCATTAAATGCTCACAACAGCCCTGCAAGGTAGGTGCTATTATTATTCCCATTTTATGGATGAGGAAACCGAGGCTGAGGGAGTTAAGTGACTTGCCCAGGATCACACAGCTGGTAAGTGTCAGAGGGAGGATTTGAACTCAGGAAGGCTCACTAAAAACATCTTCCGAACAATTCCAGTAACAGATGACACAGCAAAGATGACACACACCTCATCCTATCTCTGCAATGTTTTTATTTCTTTCATTAGATTTCTATATTTAGAAAGCTTTTCACTGCACATAACTCAGAGATTAGGAGTATTAGGAATGGTGATATCTATTAAAAATGTTTCTATTAAAATTTTCTAAGATCAATGTCATGTCCAGTCAATTGTGGGCAACACTTTTTTCTTCTGTGAAAGTGCTCTGACTCCAGTAAAACGTATTTGTTGACTTCTCAAGGATATTTTGAAGTCTGTATTTATAGTTCTAGGATTGTCACTTGTTGATTTCTGAAAGATCAGCAAGCTTCTGATGTATAATTCTAGCCACAAGTTTATTTTGCTAATTATCTGGTACGCAGTAAATGCTTTGAACATGGAGTGACACATTGCACCATTTCTACCATTTCTTTGCATAATAATCATTGCATTGATCACTAAGTTCAGGCTCTTCAAGGATAACCCTTCTGCAACTCCTGACATTGAAGAGCTGATCCTGAATCACCATCTTAAACTCTTCCATTTCAATGAGCAAATCTGTGTAACTCAGTTATTTGTTTGAGATTTCTTTGTTAATACATCATTGATTGAGTTCATTCAAATTTTGCCCATGGAAGGCCTTTTAAATTCCATATCATCATTATGATCCTTATTATATAATAATGTTAATCTTATTATAATTCTCATCTTATTCAATGGCATTCACATAGAAACAGTCTTGGGATATCACTATCTTTTTTATATTTTAATGTTCTGCAGGTTATTGTGGTGAAGTAAATGAGTAGTTTTTGTAGTTAAATGAAAGTATGAGGATACATGTGGCACAGTGGGTAGAGTCCCAAGCCTGAAGTCAGGAAGACTCATCTCCCTGAGTTCAAATCTGGCCTCAGGCACTTACTGACTATGATTCTGAACAAGTCACTTCACCCTGTTTGCCTCAGTTCCTCATCTTTAAAATGAGCTAGAGAATGAAATGGCCAACCACTCCAGTATCTTTGCCAAGAAAATCCCAAATGAGGTCACAAACAGGTGGACATGACTGAAAAACAACTAACCAACATGAGGATAGATCCTAATACTCATCTTCTTTAGGCTCACTGAAAGCATCCTCGGTGTTATAACTCTAGTAGCAAACAGGGATGATATAGATCTCATCCTCTCTAAATCATTTCAATTTCTTCTGCTAAATCTTTATATTTTGAAAGTTTTTAGTTCCTTGTAGCTTGGAAATTATGAGTATGTGTATGGCACCATCTATTAAAAACACTGTTCTTAAGTTTTTATGGCTTAATATTATACCCAGACAATCATAGGCAATAGTTTGGTATGCATTAATAGTCCAGTTCCAGTTCAATTTATTGATTGAGTTATCTAATATACTTTGAGGTTGGTATATTTAGTATGGGAATTTTTCATTTGTCATTCCACGAAAGATAGAAATGCTTCATATAAAGCATTTAAATGCATAATTGGTCTTCATTTGGAGGGATGACTTGTTCTCATCTTTTGGTTATAAATATGAGATGTCTAGGGGTCAGGATGTGTCTAAGGGGAAGTTAGTAAAGTGTTCTAGTAATTTGGTGAACCAATTAATCCAATAATTAGGGATGTTATCTGGCCACCCCACTTTTCAGTTTTTCGGAGAAGCGAGAGTTGCACTCACTTCCCTTGGCAATTGTTCTGGAACTCATGTTAATGATACACATGCTTTCTGTTTCTGTTTTTGTTTTTTCATTTGATCCAACTGGTGTTTTCATTGCATTAGACTTTCAACCATAGAGATAACCACATCCTCTAATGGTATCGCCCCACATGGAGATTCTGGAGAACCTGCTTCTTGTATCCAAGAGAGTCATGATAACATGGAAACTTAGTGACCTGGAGAGACTGGAGCATGTATAGATATTCTGTAACTTGTTTCATTCACCTAACTACATGGTGGGGAGGAAGGTCTTTGATTGGTTGGGGACTCAAAAAAGATATATCAGCATTACCATCCTCTTCTGAGGCACAGTGCTCTTAGGGGAGCTCAGTGACTAGTGACGGGAATGGAACCCATCATTCCAGAGTCTATGTTTCACAACCAGCTCAGCATTGATCCCTGAGGAGCAAGGATCAGGTTTTGGGAGTAACATTTGGGGCTTCAATCCTGTGGTAGCTATGATGTGAGCTCCCAGTAGTTAAACTGCATCTAGAAATGAATTTGGTGGGACCAATGCTATTTAGGAACTGAGCTAAGTTTAAAGCTTACTCCACCACAGACAGGCAGTGTAGGAGACTATATACCCTTGAGGTCGCAGAGAGGGAAAATGCTTGTATATTTAATCTTGCTATATCTTTGAAGTAAATATTCCTTTGTAAAAACTAATACAAAGTTAAGTGGTTAAATGGAATTTCTGGTGGGGGCTCAATCTGAAGGTACTGGAGAAAAAGAGGTGCCCCAACCCCAAGGCACTCAGGGTACACTAGAATCCTGAAGAGGAGATATAGCATCCTAGCCCTGAGAAAATGGGGCCAGAGTAACAACCATAATACATAAGACAGCTAGATGGCTTCACAGTGGATGAAGCACTGGACCAGGGGTTGGTAAGAACAACATTGAAATCCTATCTTAGACATTTACTAGT